TGTGGCCCTGTTGGAATAACCTGGGATATATCCTCAACATATGGTTCCCAGTTGTGAATTGCTTGCCTAAAGTATAAGCCTTTATATGTAGAAATATATGTACTTTTATATCTTGAATGGGAAGTATACCTGTTCATTCTCCTCTTCTCTGTTGTCAGTGGGGTGTCAGTTATATGCACATATCTTTTTTTAAACTAAAAGTGATTTTAATAAAGGGGTTAAATATATATGTACATATATTTATAAGTGTGTATATAGTGTGGCAAATTTGTTACCAAATATAGATATATATTTTTAAAATTTTTATTAGTGAGACACCATGAGGTACAGTTGTAGACTTACAAATTTTTGTGCTTGGGTTTCAATTATACAATGATCAAATACCCATCCCTCCACCAGTGCCCATTTCCCACCACCACGGATACCAGTATCCCTCCCATCCCCCATCCCCCCCATCCCACCCTGCCTTTGTGGCAAGGCATTCCCTTTTGTTCTCTCTCTTTGAAAGGTGGTGCCTGATTTTCCCCTTTGTGCTCAACTTAGGAACTGGTCTCTAAGGAGAAAAAGGTGGAAGTAACAGTGCATGATGTTGGAGACCAAGTAATAAAAGGCACTTTAGCTTCCACTTATCCTCCATTATTTGTTATCTGGGGAGCATTCAGGCAGCCCTAGGGAGGTCCTCAGTACATGGCACTAAAATGTCTGACCAGGAGCCTCTCATTTCATTTTTTAGAGGTAGGGTGGAGAGCATATCCAGCAGGGTGTTTGGGGCTTACTCTGGAATAACTTCCAGCAGTGCTTGGTGGACCTTAACTGGTGTAGGATGAGAAAAGAGAGAACTGGAATCAGTCTAGTGCAAGGCAAGTGCCTTAACCTCTGAACCATCTCTCTGTTGCCCCCCAACCCCCACTCCGCCATTCTATTTCTTTTTTTTCAGTTTAACATTGTTTGTTTATTTATTTATTGAATCACCATGAGATACAGATACAAAGCTTTCATGTTTGAGTTTCACTCATACAATGATCGAACACCCATCCTTCTACCAGTGCACATTTTCTATCACCAATGTCCCCAGTATATCCCCCCTTTCTACCCCTCCCGCTGCCTCTATGGCAGACAATTTCCCCCATACTCTCTCTCTAATTTGGGGCATTACGGTTTGCAATATAGATACTGAGAGGCTGTCACGTTTGGTCCTTTATCTACTTTCAGCACGTATCTCCCATCCTGAATGATCCCTCCAACCATCATTGTCTTAGTGATCCCTTCTCTATTCCAGCAGCCTTCTCCCCTAGCTTATGAGACGGGCTTCCAACTATGGAGCAATATTCCTGGCTCTTGTGTCTACTGTCCTTGGGTGTCAGTCACATATTATGTTATTTTGTATTCCACAAATGAATGCAGTCATTCTATGTCTGTCCGTCCCTTTCTGACTCATTTCACTTAGATGATACTCTCCATGTCATTCCACTTATAAGCAAATTTCATAACTTCATCTTTCCTAATAGCTGCATAGTATACCATTGTGTAGATATACCATAGTTTCTTTAACCAGTTATCTGTTCTTGGCACTTGGGTTGTTTCCAGATTCTGGCTATTGTGCTCCAATGAACATACAGGTACGGAAGTGATTTCTACTGTTTATTTCAGTTAAAAAAGCTGCTGACCTTTGTCTTGACCATAGTTTCCAGAGAAACCTGGGCCGGAACCACCCAGTTCAACCACTCCAGAGTCTTGGCCCTCATATAATGTAAGAAAGGATAGTCTTAAGTGTTTTACACTCTTTAATTTGGGATTAATTTTTTTATTCAACAATATGGAACTTAGATACTTTCTTACTATCACTTTATAATCATTCCTGCCCTCTCTTGTACTCCCTCCTAGTAATTAAACTTCCTACTTTATATTACTAGTACAAGGACTTTTTATTTTTAGCCCTGATACCTTTGCAGTATTTAAGAGATTTATTGAGATATAATTTATGTACCACAATATTGGCCAACACATCAAAAAAAAAACTGTAAAAACCCCCTCGCAAAAACTTCATTTTAAGGATTTAAAGTATACGTGTTAGAGGCATCAAGAGCATTTCTGATGCTGGGCAGTGACTCCCTTATAGTTCCAGAACTGTTTTATTCCTTTAGATGGAAAACCCATCCTCAGGCATATTTTTAAAAGATTATTTTAGTTTTGGGGTCCCCAAATCTGGAACTATCATAAATACCAAAGAAAAGCTAGTTTGCAACTAAATGAATAAAGCCCTGAAAGGTAAAGGATTCAGTAGAAATAACACAATTTTTTTTTTTTTTTTGCTTCTTGGGTCACATCCGGCGATGCACAGGGGTTACTCCTGGCTCTGCACTCAGGAATTACTCTTGGTGGTGCTCAGGGGACCACATGGGATGCTGGGAATCAAACCCAGGTCGGCCGCATGCAAGACAAATGCTCTACCTGCTGTGCTATCGCTCCAGCCCCAACATGACAATTTCTAACGACTATATTTGACTGTTCACATTCTTGTACAGAATAAGAAAATTTAATGAGATACAGTTTATCACGGATGAATTATAATCTCAAAAGTTTTACTTAAAAAATAGCCTTCAAACTTTTGAAATCTACTGAGTGTAGACTGTTCCCCTTGAAAACAGAGAGCCAGCAATGAGAAATGGAGGGTGGCAGTCAGGAGTAAAGCAGGTGAAGCAAACAGGTGCTATGCCAGGACGGCCTTCAAGCTTAAAGTACTCATTGCTACCTACATCTATGAGATTAGAAGGATTGTTTGCACTCAGCTGGTACTATGCCACAGACTTGGGAGTGAGAAGTGATGGCATTTGGGCCAGCTGTTGGCCAACCCAGAAAATGGGGTAAAGACTGGACACAGGTGTTATTACTCCTAGCACCACTTTCTTCCCACCACCTTATTTTAATACAAGTTACTAGTAAGCAGGAAATATTGCTGCTGAATTGAAAGCTGACTTTGTTAGGAGTTTTCTCATATGGCGTGGTGGTTTTAGTTTCCAGTGTCTTTTGCAGAACTAAGCTGTGTAGTGTTAGTAGTGAAAGTTCCTTTGATAGAACTACGTCTTTCCCTTCCTTGGCTGGACCCCCGGAAACTACAGCTTTGCTCTCACTGGCCCCTCACTGCTCACAAGGACAGAATAGAAGAACAATGGCAAGAAGAGATCTGTAATAGCCCTTTATTTGGCTCATTGGGTTGGCATCTTCCAGCCTGTGGGATTTTCTCTTTAATTAATTTTCACATTCATTTAATGTTGTTTGGGGGTGGGTAGGATACACCCACAGTGCTCAAGGATCTGCTTGCTCTCGGATCTGTGCTCTGATCTCATGATTGGTGGTGCTCAGGGGACCATATATGTGTTGCTGGGGGACGGAACTGGGGTTGGCTGCAAGGCAAGTGCCTCACCCCCTCTACTGTCTCTCCAGCCCCCGTTCACATACTTCACAAAATCATTGAGGATCAGGATGTGGCTCAGTGATAGAGTGCATGCCTTATATGTATACGAGCTTGATCCCAGGGACAAAGTTAAAATTCAATAAAAATTATTTAGTGCCTTCTTTGTGCTAGGCATGGTTCCAGGCACTGGAGATAAGCAGGGAATGAAACAGTATAACTAATGCAAGAAAGAAAAAAGACAGAGTCTAGTTTTTGCACATATTTCTCTGAGCGTGACATTTTTTAAGCTAATCTGAACTGTTTCACATTAGTAGGACATTAGTGGGGCTGGCAGTTGAAACTGTGCTCATCTTTCCCCAATCCTGCAATTCACCACCCACAGTAAAGCAGAGAGAGTCAGAAGAATATGGGCGAAAAGCACTTGCTTATTCTGACAAAGTCCAGGAGCCCAGATCCTGGTCACCTCTGTGCTAGTGGCCTACTCTCATTGTCTTAGGGACACATTCTTGTTTCTCCAGGTTTCTCCTCATTGATGGGGAAGAGCAAGCAGTGCAACTCCTTCCCATCCCCCTTTTTTGGGGGTCACACCTGGCTGTGCTCAGGGATCACTCCTGGAAGGGCCTGGGGGATTGAATGTAGTGCTGGGGATCGAACCTGGGTCAGTAGCATGTCAAACTGTTATTCACTGTCCTATCTCTCAGGTCCCTGCAGTGCAACCCGTAACATATCCCAAGACAATGTCACCAGCACATGAATAAGCCCCATGGAAGTGGGAGAAAAAACAATCTCACCACTCATGCCACAGATAGGCCCAGGCATTTCCATGTGGCCCTCTTGGGGTCCGCCAGGAGCACGTGTACAGTGCTGGATTTTACCAGCCCTCTTGAGCGAACCTCTCGCTTCAATGTTGGGGGAAACGGATAGCAGGTCCCCAAATCAGCAGTGTTACCAGTGGTGAGGTGGAGCTGCCCTCCCAAGTATAGGAAGCTGGAGTTAAAAAAAAAAAAGGCCAGGGAAAGGTCAGAGAGATAGTGGAGGGGATTAAGGAATTTGTCTTGTGTGTGTCAACCCCAGGTTCACTCCCAGCACCACATATGATCCCTAGAGCACTACCAAGAGTGATCCCTGAGTACAGAGCCAGGAGTAAGCCCTAAGCATGAAGAAGACAAAAAGGAAGAGGAGGGGGAGGAGAAGGAGGGGGATCAGGGAAAGAAGTGCGAGAGAGCTGGGCCAGCAGGAGGTCTAGATGGAAATGAGTGAGGGCTGCAACATGAACTGGGATAAAAATGCATCTGGAGGGGGCCGGAGAGAAAGTACAGCAGTTGGGCGCTTGCCTTGCAGGTGATGGGCCCTGATTCAATTCCCAGCATCTCATATGGCCCCGGAGCATGGCCAGGAATAATTCCTAAGTGTAGAGCCAGGAGCAATCCCTGAGCATCACCAAGTACGGCCTAAAAAGCAAATTAAAAAAAAAAAAAGCAACAGGATTGGAAAGTCCAAGTCCAAAGAGCTGCCACACTGATCTGAATCCCCAAGAAGGGAAAGTATGTGCTCTCTGACGGAGGGGAGGAGAGCTGGGGGCGGAGAGGAGAGGAGGGCAGGAATCCCACAGCCCAGGAGAACCCTGCCCAACAGCACGGCCCACAACTGTCTGCTCTCTGTCTCTCACGAGAAACGTGAGTCGCTCCAATAAAACCCAGCTCTTGGCAGAGAGAACCTAACCTCCGGCGTGAGGCAGCGGGACGCAGCTGCTCCAGCCCCCAGGACTTGGCGAGGACCTCCTCTGCCAGGTCCCAGCTGCTCTGCAGCCCAGAAGCCAAGGGAGGTGCCCATCACCCGCGCCTTCAGACATCCGCCACCGCCCAAAGCGTCTGAAACGGGCCTCGTGTTGCAAGGAGACTAACAGAAGGGCCAAGCGAACCCAGGCTGGGAGAACAGGGGAGACAAGAGTTTGGGAGTCCCAGCTGGAGAAAGGTTTTCGCCTGCACCCCGCTACAGCCAAGGGCCCCAAGCCCCCTTGCCCTTGGGGTCACAGCGGGGGTCCTGCTCCGGGAATCGCACTGGCACAGAGTGTTTGTGGTAGAATTGCAGGCGGGCAAGGAGCCCCTTGACGATATGGGGATATTCTTCTGACAGGTCATGTCTTTCTTCGGGGTCCTGGTCAATATCGAAGAGCCAGAGGGTCTTGGTGGGTGGGTCGGCGGCGGGTATCTCAGAAACGTTGTACTGAGATGGCGGAGGGAACCAGTGACCACAGCCTGGCAAAGAAAGAGGAGAGCTGGATGGGGATGAAGTCTCGTTGGGGGGCAGCAGGAGGCTGGAAGACAGGGGGAGCCAGGACTGTGGGCACATGATAGGCACTGGCCTGGCACTGCGAGGGGGTAGGGTTCTCTCAGACTCTCACTTCTGATGCTTTAGATAGACAAGTCTCACTGCTGCACACCCTGGGGTGTCAAGAGGGGTGTGCCTGTGTTTATGCGTGTGTATGTGTGTGTTGGAGGAGGATGGGAGGGAGGGCACAATGCTTTGGGAGGTTCATGAAACAAGGGTACTAAATACTGTCTTCCAATCCATGGGGGGTGGGGGGGTGGGGAGGGTGTGATGCAACCTTATGCCCCAAGCACATGACTTAATGGTTGAGGATGTCACTTTGGGATGTGGGCTAAGCCAGTTAGATTGCCACACATGACTAAAATCTGTATTTTCCGTGAAACATTAAAGTGGAATTTCCCCTCCCAATCCCCATTAAATTTTTGTCAGGTTAGTAGATTCCACTCTTCCCACTCTTCCTCACCTTGTTGCCCTTGTTGCCTCTTTCACCATTCCCAGAGATTTTTTTTTTTTGCAACAGGCAGTTGTTTCTTCAGCAGAGTTTCATTTGGTGCTGGGGTTGGGGGGGGGGGGAGCCGGGGTTTGGGGAATGTTAAGCTTCCTACCTGGGTAGCCTGTGAGGAGTTTCCAGTTTCTGTATCTTATTGCAGCATGCACAGATGTGTTGAAGGCTGAATATTCTGGAGAAGAAGAATGCCTGCCTGGCTCCACGCTGTGCCCAAGACCTAGGAAGAAATAGTTTGGGAAAATTAGATCACTATTACTGGAATGTGTCGTTATAAATCAACATTTTATATCCTTCTTGCAGAACAGTAGCTTTTATTCAATGCTAGTGCACAAATGCATATCCTGCCATAGAAATGAATCTTCTATTAAATACAAACAGAAAGCTATAGTTACATTAAACGTCAGTCATAAACCACCAGATATATAAAGGAAATCCCAAAGAGATTAGAATACTAATTCATCCTTAAAATCACTATGTTCTGCCAACATACAGCTGGCCATATGTAGAGTAGGGCTCACTTACAGCAGTGTGAGGTTTTTGTTTTATTTTGCTGTAAAATGATTGGATTAAATAAATACGCTTGCTGTGTATACCGATACCTATGTAGATAATAAAATAAATGATCAAATGTGCATCTTATTGGAATCTATCCGAAATTATGAGTCTAAGCATGCCACGATAAATAGTTGGTATGTTATTTTTTAACCACAGTTGTAAAATCTAAAAGTAAGCGATAGCACAGCGGTAAGGCGTTTGCCTTGCACGCAGCCAACATGGCCGACCCAGTTCAATTCCTCCGCCCCTCTCGGAGAGCCCGGCAAGCTACCGAGAGTATTCGATATGCCAGACACAGTAACAACAAAGTCTCCAATGGAGACGTTACTGGGCCTGCTCGAGCAAATCGATGATCAACGGGAGGGCCTTTACTTTACTTTACTTAAGTGAGCAATGTTCAGTTTAGAGTTCATAGCTGAATTCCTAGGATAAGTATTGTTACAGGAATAGATCTGGCAAGCAAGTTGGTTGGTGCCATGGGTGACATTAGTTTACATGTCTTGGCATCTTAACTGATGATGATATTTTAAAATTGAGATATAATAGATATATATCATTATATTCTCCTCAGCATACAAATATGGTACTGTATTTGAATATATTGCAAGGTGGTCACTATAGTAAGTCTAGTTATCATCCAACACCACATGGTTACAAAGTAATTTTCCTGTGAACAGAACTTTAAGGATCTACTTTTAAAGTAAGTTTTAGATGCATAATAAAACATAAAATATTGTCACAAGTATTCCTTTTGGGTTTTGGGGCGACTGTCACACCTGGAGGTGGTCAGGGGCTATTCCCAGCTCTGCAGATCTGTGCTCTGGCGGTGTTTGGAGATATATATGGTGCCAATGTTGGGAATAAACTAGATCTTGTGTGTGCAAAGCATGTGTTCAGACACTGAGACATTCTTGGGCTTGTCAGGAAGTTTTTGAGAGAAACAATGAATAATACCTGCCCTTTCTTTCCCTTTTGAGTTTGGAACCACAAAGATTGAGAGTAGATGCATGGGGCTAAAAATATTGCTTCTCTCCCAGGATGGGAGAAGCATGCTGAAAGTAGAATATAGACCAAACATGATTGCCACTCAATGCCTCTCTTGCAAACCACAGAACCCAAAAGGAGAGAGAGAGAACAAAAGGGAATGCCCTGCCACAGAGGCAGAGTGGGATGGGGGGATAGGGGGTGGGAGGGATACTGGGACCCGTGGTGGTGGAAAATGGGCACTGGTGGAGTGATGGGTACTTGATCATTGTATAACTGAAACCCAAGCACAAAAATTTGTAAGTCTATAACTGTACCTCATGGTGTTTCACTAATAAATAAATTAAAAAAATTAAAATATTGCTTCTGTGACTGATACAGTTGGTTGGCGAGAACATAACTTCAGATCTGTGGCATGGAGCCTGGCTAATAATTGACCCTCAACTTAGACATAATTATTCATCAGTGATTTGCTGGACACCCAGCAGACTTTTAAGACCAGACTGGAGTGTTTGCACATAACCTGGGCACAGGCTAGCTCCAAAAATCAGACAAAAGGTATGAGTTAAATATGTTCATTTCCTTGGAAGGTTCTCTTCTTCACCAGCTCTGGAGAGTAGTCAATAGATACAGTGAGAGAGGACTGAGTTTCAATTCCACCGGAGACCCTGGTGGGTTTGTGATGGCAAGGGAGAGCAGTCCCCTGACTCAATCCAACCAGCACTCCTTGCTCTTAAATCATTAAGATCATTAAATCATTACGACCATTAAATTACCTCAATAAATCATTAAGATCCTCAGCTGAGAGTCTTATTGTGCCATGTTTAGTTATCTCAGTCAATATTTACCTGTTCATTTTGAATATAGTTTTAGAAATCACACAGGATATAAACTTCAACAGGCTGCCATAGTAGGGCCCAACATACGATATATCTGCTAGTGCATTCCCTAGTTGCCCACCAACCTGCTGTGAAGGACTTTGAGAGCACCCTCCTGCCCACAGAGCAGGATTCCAGGCTGTGCCTGCCTCTTCATGCAGGAGGCGGCCACTGGTGGACAGGGCTGGTTGTCCTACTCTTTGGTCCCTCTCATGGAGATGACACAGGGAAGAAAGGCTGGAGACGAGACCCGTAAACATCCAGTGTATTCAGACTTTCAGTCTTAACAATCATGTCCCAACATATCATTAGCACCCAAGAGGAAATCTTTTTCACTTCTTGTTTTCCTTTTGCTTGTGGATACTTTGGATCAAGTACAAAAGGATGCTTTTAGTAATGAAACATACAGGACATTGATCCTGGACATGTGCAGTGAGTGCCCAGAAGGCAGTAACACAGTGACTGTGAGTTCCAACATCACACATTTGTAGGAAGGCTGTATCTTTGCTTTTGTTTTTTGTTTGTGGGCCATATCCAGTAGTGCTCAGGGGTTACTCCTGGCTCTGTGCTCAGGAATCACTCCTGGCAGTGCTTGAGGGGGCACATGGGGTGCCGAGGATTGAATCCACATTGGGTGCATGCAAGAAAGACACCCTACTTACTGTACTATCTCTCTGGCCCAAGAAGGCTGGTTTTGATAACAAAGAATGCTATATGAGACAAGTGTGCTTTGTGAATATAAACAAAAAGGGAACTTTGCAATCCCAGCTATACTAATATTTATGTACTTTTATTCTTAAAACAAACAGGAACAAAAAATATCGCAACAAGAAATGACTCTAAGGCTGATGAAAGATTGTGTTATCTCAACTTGTTTTCTTTTCGTTGTGAGAAATCAAACAAGGAGAAAATTACAAAAATATAATTAATGTGAGTCATTGCCCAGAATAAACAGATGTTAACATCGAGCTTTAAAAAAAAAGAAAGAAAAGAAAAAGGACGATGAAATGGCAGCCAGTTTCCTCCTTCTCATCCTCAACCCCATCCTGCTCTACAGACACTGTTGCTATTGCGGCATCAATGTACTGCCCTTAAAATATACTATTACTGGGCTAGAGAGATAGTAGAGAGGGTAAGGTGCTTCTCTTGCACATGCACAGACCAGGTTTGAGTCCTGGAATCACATATAGTCCTCTGAGCCCTGCCAGGAGTGATCCCTGAGTGCAGAATCAGGAGTAAACCCTCTTGTTAGAGACCATTTTCCCTCCCTGCTTTTGAGCTTTGCATAAGTGGAAATCAAATAGCCTAGAATATTTTATTTCTGATTCTGACCATCATTATGTTTGTGAATATCACTCTTCAGTATTTCACTTATTATCATTGCTGTATAGTTTTCCATTGATTATACATTTTTTAATATTTTTGTGGGGGAGGGTGTTGGGCCACACCGAATAGCCTTACTCCTGGTTCTCTGCTCAGAGATCACTCTTGCTGATGCTCAGGGGACCACATATGCAGTGATGGGGATTGAATCAGAGTTGACCACATGCAAGGTAAGTAACTTATCCACTGTACTGTTTTTTTTTTTTTAGCCAAAATGGACTTAGTTATTATTTATCTTTTTGACTTTTAATATAATTTTTTAGGAATGGCTTATCAAATTTCCTCTAGAAGTTAATGGCTGGGATGCTGATTAGTTAGATTAGTACTAACTCTTGGACATTAAGTTGGTTGTATTTAATTGATATCTGAAAACACTGAGACTTATAACTCACAAGTATGGTTAATTTCAGCAATTTTTTTAGATTTAAAAAACCTTAAATCCTTAAATTACATGTTATGGGAGTCTTTGTAGAGGTCTTATATATCTTCTCTTAGGTTTATTTCTAGATGGTTGTTATTTTATAACGTGAAATATGAAACTTAGAGCCAAAGCAATTGTATAGCTGGTAGGGCACTTGCCTTGTACATGGCTGATCTGGGTTTGATCCCTATCACCTCATATGTTTCCCTGAGTCCGCCAGAAGAGACTCCTGAGCACAGAGCTAGGACTGAGAACTGAGCAAGGTATAGTGCCAAAACAAAAATAACATATATTAAATTTAAAAGGTAAAGGTAAAGGCCCTCCCGTTGATCGTCGATTTACTCGAGCGGGCCCAGTAACGTCTCCATTGGGCTGGAGCGATAGCACAGCGGGTAGGGCGTTCGCCTTACAAGCGGCCAACATGGCCGACCCGAGTTCGATTCCTCCGCCCCTCTCGGAGAGCCCGGCAAGCTACCGAGAGTATTCGATATGCCAGACACAGTAACAACAAAGTCTCCAATGGAGACGTTACTGGGCCCGCTCGAGCAAATCAACGATCAACGGGAGGGCCTAAATTTAAAAATATATCTCATATTCTGAATATTTGCTGCTGGCACATAAAAATATGATAGGCTTATCCCGCTCCTCCACACACACACCCCATATTCACACATATCCATCCAGTAACTTTCTTAAATTAATTTGCAAAGTCTAATCCTCTATAGATTGTTTGGATTTTCCATGCTGAAGATACCATCTACAAATAGTGACTTTAGTTTATATTATTCTTATATCATTAATTTTGTGTTTTTGATCTATGACACTGGACAAAATATTCAGCATACTTCTGAATAAAAGCAGCGAGAGAATTTCTTTTTCATTCTTGATTTCAGGGGATAGGAAAAATTACATTTTGTTTCAACTTTTTGCACCTGAGCTCAGACAGGAATAACTCTTTAGTTTTTTTCTAGTAATATTATATTCTGGAGGTCTTTG